AATATATGTTAGCTTCTATCTGTTAAAGAAGCAACCTCCAACCTACATAACCGCACCACTGTAATTTTCACTCAGAAAGTTTAAAGGACCTTTTATCAGTGTTAGATGTGAAAAACTTCTGAATCTCTGGGAGTCAAGGCCCCTGAGACAGATGACTGTGAATGCAGCCTGAAAATAAGGGTCACAGCCACTTGCTGGAGCTACATTCTAAATTCAGTTGTGAAGCAGCAACAGTAGCCAATATTTTGGTATCAAAGTTGTGTACAGATGAAACTTAAACCAGCATTTTTCCTAATATGCAGCATTTGATATATCTTGTTTACAATATCAGCAAGAAAATATGTTATTAACAGTTTCTTATTCTCTTATTTAACTTTGGACTAACATGAATAACATGCATTGATTCTATCACTGTCTGACAAACAGAAACGATTTGGTGTTTGATTTGTAAATCAACAATATGTGTGATCAAAATTAGAAAATATTACTCATTTAAGAAAAAAATCTAATTTATTTTTGGCCCTTTCTCTGTCTTATGAAAAATGCGCACATCATAAAATTGACTTAATTTTAGCTAATTTAGCTAGTTTACTAAACCTAACCTTCAAACGTGTCTCTTGGTTTCTATTTTATGAACCAAGTCAAACAACAATACAGCTGAGAGTCATTTATGCAGATTTATTGTTTTCACTCTGCAGAATGCAACAGCAATGAGTTGAACAACCAAATAAGTAAATAATTTAATCTAATTTAGCATGCTGAGCTAGCAGAAAGGCTATTTCATATTTGTGGTTCCTTTGTATTACCAAAAGACAGTCATCAGGTGAAGAATGAAAGGGAGGTATTTCAAAAGGGGAGAAAAATATGTTCCAGTAAGTGACACAGACAGCATGAAGGATATGAACAATGCTGGGATTAACTCTCTCACATTTGTTCTACCTTTTTAAAAATTTGTGCTTTTCTTTGTTTATTTGTTTTGTCCTATTGATGGTTTTGGGGTGGTTTTTTTGGCTTTGTTTTTGTTGTTGTTTTTTTTTTAATCTCAGACACTTTTATACTGAGGGAAATTTGTCAGGAAAACGTTAATGCTGACTTTCTTCTGCTACTAAATATAAATCCTTCATGTAATGGTGGAAAACCTCCACTCTCTTCAGAAATTTACACGTTATTTCCCAGAGGTAAGGGTGATGATCTCAAATTTTGATCCTTTAGCTCAGATTCAGTAACCTTGGAACTCCATAACTATCTCAGCCCTCTGCTGTACACTCAATCAATTTTCTGCTTCATGTTTTTTCATAAACATGAAGGATTTCTACACAGTTTAAAAAATAGACTACATAGCTACTATGCGCAAAAAAATCTGCAAATCTCTATGACATGCTTATCTTCTGCTACATGCAGCCTAACTTTAAAAGAATGTGATGGTGAATTTGGAAGATGATGGGGAAAAGAATCACAATTATCTTCTTGCCAAGACTAGGCAGAGCAAAATAGTATCACTATTACAGTAGTACTCATCAATATGTAAAGTACAATTCCAGAAAACACAGAATATTTTTAGATCACAATGGGTGAACAAATAAATAAGAGAATTTATAATTTCTTTTACAATTTGGAAATGTATCCTGGTACAGGAAATAAATATACATGAATCTCAGATATGTAATTTATCTACTATTTCAGATATCTATTGATCTACTGTTTGAGTTTGCTTGAATCAATATGGACACATACGAAACCCTGGATGGAAGGTATTTGAGTTATTATCAATCTCTATGCTAGATGACAAATGTCAGCACTACTGCACAATCAGCTCTTACTTGCTGCAACAAATAAGGGTTGTATTCAAAGCAAGAGGGCAAAGCCCGTAATAAAGTGCCTCTCTACTTGTATTTCCATAATCTCTGTATCCAAAGAAGCCAGTTGCAAATAAAACTTAGTTCCCTACAGAAGCTCAAGTGTTGGTAGTTTGGCCAGCAAGAAAAATAGGAGTAGTGTATGGTTCTCCTCTGTACAGGTTTTCATGAGTAGTGCTACATGGCAGGTCATTAAAAAGAAATAGGCAAACAGAAGGGCAAAACATTATAAAATGATAAAAATACTTATCCCTCCACCTAATATATAATTAGTCCAGGAGGTTCACCTTTAAATGAGTTGAGGCAAAACCCTGTAACATTTAAAGGAGGTCTGCCCTTTTGTGTAAATAACTACAGTATCAGAAGTTGTAAAGAGTTAATGTGAATAAAGAGCATGAAAAGTGTAATCCTTTGAGTTTAGGTATTCTAATTAATAAAACTTTATTTTCCTGGGGTTTATTCTGCCCTTGGAGTGACCCAGTGCTTGTTTTCAGCATGAGGACATAAAATGACTTGGGTTGACAACCCCTGTCTGCTTGTGTGACTGGCATATCATAATGTCCTTACCATAATCAGAACCAGTTGTTCTGATGAAATGTACTGCTAAACAGCCACTACCATGATTTTTTTTTGCTATTTAAAACATAAGAATACAGAATTTTTCACTAACACTTTCCATTCTTTCATCACAGCTGTGAAGGACTAACACAAAACATATTCCCAAAACAAACAACAAAATTACAAACATAACTTTGGCAAAAAAAGCTGGAAAGAAAGTTGGCTTCCTTTATTTAACAATATATAATAATGGTGTTTTGGAATGGGCAATTAGTATTTGCATTTTTTCAAAGTACATGCACTAGGGTCTCACTATTAATGTGATGCTCTGAAAGTAATTTCATACAGAACTGAAAGATACAAGGCATTATAAACATTCCTCCCAGGATGAGAAATATTTAGGATTAATTTGTTCCCATTTGTTCTAAATGTGTTGCCAGTTCTCATTTGCCAGAAGAATCTAATATCTTCCTTCAAGCTGCAGTGAAATTACACACAACAAATACATGAGTTAAACTGTACTGACCAAGAAATTGTCCCTCAGAGATGGATATTTTGGTCAAGCCTTGACAGCTTTGAAGTACTCATATGAACAGGCTTATTTGGAAACCTTCAATGAGTTTCTTTACCCTGCTCCCTGTCTGCCTTAGCAGCTCAAAATGCTTGCTTAGCAGAAAAACCAATAATTTAAACCCTTTACTTAATTGCACATAGACCAGGAAAAATGAAAAACTATCACACATTCGATAGAGTGCTAATTCCAGGACAAATGTTACTATTTATGATTTATTGCTACTGGATACCCAAAGCCACATTCCTAATTAACTCCCTGCTTCCTATCCCAGAAATTGTAGGTTCCCATGTCTGAATGAGTCTTAGTTTGTGGTTGGTTTCTTAAGGCAGGAAGCATTGCTTGTGTCCTGAAGGTACAGCAGTAAGGTGGTGTATGAAACCTCATTTCATGCAATTTGTGAGGTTATTCCCCATTCCACTTGTTAAGTTTCAGATCATCCTGAATAGCAAAAGAATCAAAGGGAGTCCAGAAGAAATGTTTATACTTGCATTGTCACATACTGTGATAACTACCACTACTATTTGGAACTGCAAGATTTGCCCTCTAGAACCTACAGAGACAGTTCTCATGAGGGAGGAGAGAAAGCTCCTATTGCTCAGATTCCCCAGATCTCCTGGTATGCCTGGGTTCATATTTACATTAAAATAACATATTGAAGGTTATTTATTTTTTTTAAGTATGGAAAACTATATACTGTGATGAAAATTAAGTTCCTATCTCTGAAATTTCAGATTTTGAGGTGAATGCAGAATCACAACTGGCCATGAAACGAAAAGGTTCTAGAATCTGGTCCCACGTTTAAAATATATATTTATATTTTTTTTAATCCATGGGAATGCAATAGCAAAGTACTGGTTTTTCACTTATTTCAACAGATGCCTTTGCCTATCTTTTCTTCCAGCAGATTTCTGCACACAGTCAACTCAATAAATGGGGCTACTAAGAGATTTCACAGATAAAACTAAAATACACAATATCCTATACTGGTGTTATGGTTTAATGCCTTATGCTGTTTCCGGTCTTCACTAAACAACATCACATATTAAAATGTCAGACAGAGGAAATTATTTGGACTGTATGGCTGCTGTTTGTTATATTAACATCAGTTTTATAAGCACACGAATAAAAATATGAAAGAAAGAATGCAGGATGGAAAATTGCATTAGATTTTTTTATCCTACAGTATATAAGGTATCATAGATGGCAATAAGCCATAAAGGTTGGGTCTGAAGTTTCCCTTCATATTCTTTATCAGAAATCTATTAATATTTATAACATATACCATGTTTACTGCAGGTAAATTTTTTCCTGAAGTAGATAGAAATAATATTTGCTAGAAATATTTTGCAGGTAAAACTTACATAAAGTACAGAGTGGAAAAGATATCAAATGAGTTGTTCTTTTTCCATTGCAAGTTAGTAACTGGGTAGGAATAACATCTCAGGTGCCTGACTGGGTACCCAGAATTCACCTTTGTACCAGACCATTTTATCTCTGTTTGTTGGGTGGGGCCTTACTGGTATTGTATACTTCCTACCTAAATTTTAATTTGTAAGATGGGATTTGTTCCTTTGTAGAAATGCTACTCTTTCTTATATAGCTTAGGATGCCTCTTTTGATTAATGTGTTGCTTTTATAATCAGAGTGACTGACACTGTGGGGTATTAAATGTAGTGAATTATTGTTATTCTAGTACAAGTGCATGACATCTCTTACTGCTTAAATGGTGAAAGTAGAGGGAAGTTCAGCTTCAGGAGCTAACAGCCTTTTAAGCTGTACAGACCACTTTTTTATCTCCATGGGTTCTTCCTATATTTTAAAGGGTGTTGCCTTATCAAGCACATTGGCTTCTTGCACAAATTTGAAAAAACCAAACATTACCATAATTTTTTGACTATGAGGTGGAAATGTCAATGTAGGTGAACACTTCCACTGGTTACTTCTTATGGTCTGACAGATATAAGTAGGTTGAATTTTTCCATCAATAAAGTAAAAACCATTCAGCCACTTACTTGCTGCTCAGGCAGCGTCTCAGTGAATACGAAGCCCCTCCTCCACAGGTGCGTGAGCATTCGCTCCACGAGCCCCAGGCATCCCACAGTGAGTCTCGGTCTTCCTCCGAGCGAGCTATTCTGGAGCTCTGAGAGGGAAAAGGAAAAAAAAGAATCAGAAAAAAAACATTTAAACAACAAAACCACTGCTGCTAGCTTAACTTTTGTTTTTCCTGGATATCATCTTGGTTATTAAAACTATTGAATAAATTGAATAAATCTGTTCCTCTCTGGCATGCCTACTGGTTGACAACCAGTTCCTTAGTAGTGAATGGTGTATGAATTCACTTTCATCTTTTGAATATCCTACTTCATCTCAGTTTGAGGCTAGTGAGGAATGCTCTAAGACAGCTCTTTGAACAACAGTGAGACAAAGGATCTTTTCTGATTAAGAAATGGAGTACTATAGACATCAGACATTGTGCTCTGAAGTTTTGTTGCTGTGTTAAAAGCTATGAAAAGGCATATTGAAAGGAACCTTCCAAAATGCTCCTAAGGAAAAATTGAAACACAACATAGTGAATCAATGTGCTAAAAAGGCATTCAATATAATAACTTTCATGCACTTCATACCATAAGGAATTTGAACTATCATTGCTTCTCTGTCTAAAGGTCTATGAAACTTGCTGGACAGTTTCCCTAACTGTTTCATCCCTACTGTTTGCTAGCTTAAAGAAGAAAATGCACATTCCCTGAAGAGCAGAAGTTACCAACATCAGGTGCAGACCTAGACTGTGCTATTGTTAAAGCCAGTGGCTGTGCTCAAAAAACTTCACAGAGAAGCAGCACTGAAGGATGCAGAAATGCTCAGCTCTTTGAGGATTAAGTCATAAACATATAGTAGTACCTGTCTCAAACAAAGTAGTCACACCTGTATTCAGAATTTCATTTTCATTCATACAAGAGCACCAAAGAAACATCGATTCATAAGGACACAAATGATTTAACCATATAGACAGATATTGTCCCTAGTGGGCAATGTGGTTGTGCTGGAAAAACTGACTAATCTAGCAAAGTTGCACCAAAAATACCTATGTCTTTAGAGATAGGCAGTGTTCTCCTTCAAAACTTTACTTGTACTGTGGGCCAACCCCTGGTGAATAGCAGTTCAAACTGCACTTGAAATTAATGAGAGAAAAACAACGATATGAGGGACACTTTAAAGGTACACCTTAAACAGAGCAACATCAGCAAGAATCACTGCTGGCCCATGTTAAAAAGGTCAGCTTTAGCTTTCATAGCATCATGGAAGATAGTGAGTTGGAAAACACCCATCAGAAACATCAAGTCTAACTCCTGGCGCTGCAGTGGACACCCCAAGAGTCACACCATGTGACTGAGAGCTTTGTCCAAACGCTTCCTGAACTCCATCAGGCTGGTGCTGTGACCACTGCCCTAGGAAGCTTGTTAGAGTGTTCAAATATCCTCTCAGTGAAAACCTCTTCTTGATATCCAGCCCAAACCTCCTGCTGACACAGCTTCAGGCCATTCCCTCAGGTGCTGTCACTGTCACCACAGAGAAGAGATCAGTGCCTGCCCTCCCTTCTCTTCATGAGGAAGTTGTAGAGTGCAGTAAGACCTCCCTTCCCCTCCTGTTCTCCAGGCTGAACAAACCAAGTGACTTCAGCTGCTCCCCACTTGGCTTCTCTTCAAGGCCCTTCACCATCTTTGTTGTACTCTTTTAGAACTCTCCAATAGTTTCATGTCTTTCTTATATTGTGGCACCCAAAAACTGACTCCAGCACTCAAGGTGAAACCATGGGAGCAGAGCAGAGTGGAGCAGGACAATCCCATACCTTGCCCAGCTAGTGATGCTGTACCATCATCCAGGACCTCCTGTTTGTTGGCAACATTAGGGATTAATTGAGGCACAGAGATAACCCTGAAATAATTTCACCTTCAGTGAAGCTGACTAGTAGTAATGAAATATGGTGAAGTATACCTTGAATAATACAGACTTGAATAATTTTATTAATGAGTAAAAAAGAAAATTAATTCAGACTGTGAGAGATAATATAGGGCCTGTCTAATGAGTGTGTAACAATTATTTGACACTCATTTTATCTTACATTTATTAAAATAAAAAAAGCCAAAAACCCCCACAGCAATTGCAGGGGTAAATGTAAAAATTAAAGTTTCATAAATGATCAGATTCTGATTATGACCACATGTGACTCAATCTCTAGATTTATATGGGAGATAAGAGAAAACATGACAACTTAGTTTATTTCACCCGACTGTTTTTTGAATTTTTATAAAATGAAAATTTGCAATTTTATTCTCTTAAAATTAAAATACATGTTTGTTTATAGGAAAATAAATACCTTCAAACTGCAGATGGGAGCATGACCTGATCATTCACCCCAGGTTGAAAACCCAAAGACATAATTTAAGAGGGTTGCAAGGTAAACTCACGTGAACCAAGTACTCTTACCCCACCACATATGATAGGCATCAGCACAGCTAGACATTCTATGGGTCCAAGTTTTTCTGACGTAAATTGTGATCCCACTAAAAGGAGATCTGTGAACCTATTATTTGTATTCCAAAATTTGCTTTAAGACCTATATATTCCCAGAAAACATGTGATCTCAACCTGGAACAGAATCCAAGTTTTCTTTTAACAGGTGGAATAAACATAATTCATCTCAACGACATCCCTGTTTAATGTTAAAGAAAGTAGAATGTTTTCCTTCCTGTGAGCTACATGGTTAAGACTGAGCTTGAAATTCTAGCAATACCCAAAAAGTAATTTCAAATCAGAAGACAACTCTCCATTACAGATTTATTCCAACTTCAAAGGATATATACAGAATTACTAGCTAAGAATTCACTGTCTAGCATAGATTTTTTAAACATAGTTTATACAGGCAGTTAAGAATTCCTACCCACTTTTGTCAAAATGAACTAAAGATCTTACTTTAGCAATCAAGAGTTCTGCAGTGCAAGAACTCCTACAATACTTCTTTAAAGCCCTGAAGTTCCTGTCATAAATAGTAAAGAGAAGGAACAAAAAATGGGGAAAAAAAAGTAGAGGGGAGTATATACCTTTAAAGCTGAAAAGAGTAAAGCTGGCACCACTTAAATCTTTCTTTAAGATTTCACAGACTTCACAGAACAGTTCCATCCATCCATCTTTTACTCTGACAGAGGTACTCCAGATTGGTGATTCTCAAAATGGCAGTGTATATCAAAGAAGCAAAATGCAGTCATCAAGGCTCATCATGCCCTGTTCCTGGTACTAGAAGACTTCCTTATCTCTTCTAGGTGAATGTCAGCCTGAGTTTCCCAGAAAAATTCCATTTCTTTGTCCAGACAAAACTCAGGATGCCCTGACATCAAAAGTATCAAGTCAGAAATACCACCCTTAAGCAATTTGCTTATTGATTACCAGTATAAACAAATAAATCTATTAGCACTAATCAAAACCAGATCTTCTTTAATCCCTTATTATCTTAACATACACCTCTTAATCTGATGGTGATCCTGCATCTACCCATACCTCATCTACCCCATACCTCAGCTCCTGTGGGAATGAGCAGGAGGACTCCCAAAGGGCTGTCTAATGAGCAGTAAGAGGAACAGCTTGTGCTATTGGACCAGAAGGCAAAAAGGATCATGTGTAAAAAATGAAATCACTGTCAGTAGATAGGGTACTCAGGTGAAGATCCTTATAGAAGTAAAAAAAAAAAAAAAAAAAAAAAAAAAAAAAGGCTTTAAACTACAAGTCAAACAAAGGAATTTTCATAATACGAACAAAAGTAATATGACGTAATCAGATAAGGCTAATAGAGATAGATATACAACCTGATTCTTCAAAAAATCCAGCTTCAGTGTTTAATAGCAATTTACTAAACAATTATTAGGCATTCTTGTTATATTCAGTGGCGATTCCTACCCTTTCTGCTTATGGTACACAGAAATAATTTAGACTATCTGGAATACAAGTGTCAAACATCCTTAAATCACAACAGCTACCTGGACATCTAGGAGCTGCATGCCTGATAAGAACCAGGTTTCTTTTGAAAGCATAAGTGTGCATATGTGTGTGGGTGCATAGAGGGAGAAAATGGAAGAGCAGCAAGAACCTCTGTTTATATCCTGAAGCCTTTAAAAGAAGTTCAACCTTAAGAAAATAAATCTTAGTCACATGTTAGAATTGAATTTAAAATTTTGTTTGGAACAGTGCTGTCCCTACAGAATCCAGCTATTTGTCAGTGCCACACAGAAGAGTGCATGTATAAACACAGATCACATGGTTTAATTTCTTCTCTGGTTCTGAGGCATCCAGTTTTCCTCCTTTTTCAGTAAAATTCTGCTGAAGTCCTTTTTTCAAGCACCCAGTGTGTTTCCTAGATTAAACAGCAATACAGATAGTGAAAAATGCAGTTAAACTCTTGTTGGACTACAGCATTGATACAGAATTTAGACCAGTTATTTCCCAGATAATTTGAACCACTGGTTTGCTTAATAAATTTATATCATCTGGTTCTTATCATATCCCCACTGTTTCAGGGTATGATGAAGTGTCAGTGACAATATGCAAAGCTCCTCTGAGGCCACTGCCTAAACTTCCCTTTAGCTACTGTAAAAATTATGTTAGGGACAGAAAACTAGTATTTTTTCTTCTGTAATGGTCTTTCTGCCCAGACTTTTCAGATAAGTTTAAATGCATCCCTATATGAAGTCTTGCCAAGCCACACATTCCTCTTTGAGTAATCCTTGAGCATCCTTTGATGTTTGTCACTGAGATTAAATATGTACTTCACACAGTACTGAAATTCTGTCTGCAGTGAACCAAGAAGAAACTGCTACCAGCACTTCCCTAGGTGTGTAACAGCAGCAGACAAGGCCAGTGACCTCAACTCTTTATAAAAACCATGTATTTCAAAACTTCAACCAATGTAAATGTATAGTTTATAAGATTTCATTTGTGCAATGTTATGTATCTTTATTGCATTCCATCCAAGTTAACAGCTGGATTAAAGCCCACGTGGGAAACTATTGTTTGGAAATACCTTGCTTTTGAAAAAAGGCAAGGCAGAACAAATTCATAGCCAGTTGAATTGATATTGGTAATTACCATCAG